AAAAAAAAAAAAAAAAAGTGTCTTGAAAAAACTTCAATAAAAGATTTTCTTATAGGTCAAAGTTTCTGCGCGGTGTTTGTGTCTTTAAGAACTATTATGAATTACTAAGAATTAGATATAAAATACATGTTAATTTTGTATGTACTACCGGTAATAAAAAGTAGTTGTCTCACTGCAAACCTACATTCAGTATTTATTACACATCCGTCTGCAGTCATGTTTTTGACGTTTCATTCAACCTTTATTTCTATAGGTGTCTCATTGAGCCACAAGGACTCATTTACAAGAGAGACCCGTTTTAAACAAAAACCACAGATGAGGTACACAATAAAACAAGCATATAAAATGAAAAGTAAATAAGTGATATCAAACAAAATTAAAAAATTGCTACGTTATAAAACCGGTGTAAAATACTAAAAACAAGAACATGTATGCATTGCTTTTTTCTTTGAACTTAATAGATGTTTAAAATCCCTTGGGGAGGTCCAAGTTGACCTACCTGTCATAGTGAATAATAAGTGAAATGGCTTCAAACAAGATGGCGTTCTTGGCGTTGGAATGCTGAACCTTCTTGGACTTGGGCGGCTCCTGAGCTTTATTGAGAATAGTCTCCAAGCACTCTACCAGCCGGCCTTTCACAGCTCCGTCTTCTGGAGGAGGGTAGCACTGCAGCAGACGCAGAAGCTTGCAGGACAGCCACGGAGCCGGCACAAAGTAGTAGGTGTAGTCCTGCAGATCCGTGGAGGCTGAAGACACAATCTGGAAAACAGAGTTGGATTTCTGTGCTAAAACCAGTCAAAGCACATGCCAAGTTTCTGTTTTTAGTGGAAAAAAGAAAACAAAAAAAAAAAAACTTTAGGACATTTTTTAGGGTGCATTCACACTAGCCCTGTTTAATCCTCTTTAATCGAACTCTAGCTCGTTTTCCTAGAAAGTCCGATTCGTTTAGGGAGGTGTGAACGCGCTATCGAACTCTGTCACGGAACAAAAAGGCGAACTCTGGCCCGGGCTAAAACCTAGGTCACGGTCCGGTAGAAGCAAACTCCAGCGCGGTTCGAGTACAGTGTGAATGTAAACAGACCAGACCCCGCTCCACAGGGTAAACAAACACGCATTTCTCTTACCTTATATGGAGCCGTCAGCTGCCTTGTGTGGAAAAACAATATTCTCCATGGTCTTCTGTCTCATCTTCTGCTCATGCTAAGTCCATTTTTGAAAAATGACTAAATATAACTCCTAAAACTGTTAAAACTTGATGCCACTTCATTTTATTTTTATTTACAGAAGAAGTGTCTTCAGAGGTTTTTGTGTCGTTTCTTTCAGTAGTTCTTGGTGCAGCGCCCCCACAGGCGAGCGGGGGAATAGGTTGGTTCAACAGGTTGACTCGACAGCACAGTGCAGTGTGAATGCAAACTCACCAGCTCAAATGTAAACAAAAGGTCATGAATATTGGTCCCGAACCGAACAGAGTCTAACAGACTTTCTAGTGTGAAAACGACCTTAATTAATTTTTGGATACAAGAGGAATACAGAAGATCGATAGGAGGTCATGCAGTTTGCAGACTATTGCGTGTTGGATTGTATGAGGATTAATGTTCAGACAAGGTTTATTACTTGGGATGCAACATAAAATATGACATTGTACATTCTATAAAAGTCTGTCAAGAAACTAAACAACCTGCCAACTTAAAATATTAATTTTACTTGTTTTGTTTTACACCTGATACAGTTGATGTCATATTAACCCATGAATGAACTGTTCATGAAATTTGTTTATGACAGAATCAATGACCTCACTGCTCATGAAACGTTTATATTTGAATTAGGATTAAAATTAGGGATGAATCGATCAACTTTTTTTTTACTTCCGATCCAATCCCGATATCGATCCAGTTCCGATATCATGATCATCATTGATTTCATATGAGGCTGTAATAATTTCCTCTCAAGAACAATTTGTACAAATATATGCATGCGTGTCCAAAAAGGCAACTTGGAAGTTTTAATAATGTTGGATAAGTTTTAAAGTTAGATTTAAATTCTGCTAACACAAAATATGTTTTTTTTTATTCCTAGCTTTAAAGTGGATATTAAAGTGATTAATTTAAGTGCTTGTTTAAAGTTATTTTATATTTTTTAAAATAAGGGGCAGATATAAGATTTTTTTTCTTCTTTCTGCACTCTTTTCATTCATTGTTTTCTTTTTGATGATTTTTTTTTTATTTTGTTTCTTTTACATGAATGAATAAATTAATTAAAATAAAATGGCTTTAAACATCTGCTAAGTTCGTGGCATAAAGCAATAGACATGTTCCTGTTTTTAGTATTTTACATCACTTTATAATGTAGCTGTTCTTGTTTAGTTTTTTTTTTTAATTTTATTTATTATATAATTTTCAAATCATATGTTTTTTTTATGATTGTCTACTGTTGTATTGATAAATATCTCCTGGAGGGTAAACTATATCTTGGCTGCAAGTATCAAGCTGAGAAATCCTTCATTTTCTACAACTGATAGTGGTTGGTCATGAATTATGATGAAGTTTAGCAACTTCTCGGTAAATATTTGAGCACCGGGGCTTCAGTGATGTCTTCTTGTTCAATCCGAAGCAAGCAGCCTGATTTCGGTCAGCCACGCTGAGTCTGCCCCTCCTCAGAGACGGACAGACTGAGCTGGGCAGATTGGACACGACTGGCCGGGGTCAAGTTGGCTGTTTTAGGTTGAGCAAAGAGTAGCGCCTCGCTGAAGCCACAGAGCTCGAATGTCCAACGTAAAACTAACTTTACCGCGGTTTAATGTGGTGCTATGGCTCTGCAGACATTGCACGTTCCTGCCTAGTTTTGTGGTGTTTCTAGTGTAAAATACTTCCACACAGCGGACAGGTTTAGATGAAAAGTTTGTTAGCCGTTAGCCACAGTGCTGCTAACTCCGTTCTCACGTTGTAGCTGGCTGCAAACTATGAAATGGATTTCCTGAATGTGAGGCAGGTCTTATTACTCTGGGTTAATGAAACGCGTCTCCGTTCAAGAAATCCATTCCATAGTTTGAAGCCAACATGCATCATGGATCAGAAATATCGGCAGGTTGGATCGGAAAAATCCGATACGTAAATTATACTGGTATCGGAGGCCGATATCGATACTGGATTGGATCAGCCCCATCCCTAATTAAAATATAATGCACATCAGTATAATTCACTTGCTTTTGGTCCTAAATTATACCCAAACTACAAAGAATGTTCAGCACAAAAAAATAATTTTAACAATTAGGGCAACACTGTGGCTCAGTTGGTAGAGCTGTTGCCTCAGTGAGAAGGTTGCCAGATCAAATCCCGGCCAATGACCTTTCTGGGTGGAGTTTGCATGTTCTCTCCGTGCATGCTTGGGTTTTCTCTGGGTACTCCGGTTTCTTCCCACAGACCAAAAACATGCATGTTGGGCTGATTGGTAACTCTAAATTGTTTCTAGGTGTGAGTGAGAGAGTGAATGGTTGCTTGTCTCCGTGTCCCTGTGATGGACTAGAGACATGTCCTGGTGTCCCCCACCTCTCACAATGACTACTGGATATGGGACACCAGTGACCCCCGCGACCCAAAAAGGAAGAAGTGGGTAAAAGAAAGAAAAATGGAAGGAAGAAAGGAAAGAAGCAGGTAAAAGGAGGAAGGAAGGAAGGAAGGAGTGGGTAAAGGAAGGAGGGAAGGAAGGAAGGAAAAAAGAAGAAGGTAAAGGAAGGAAGGAAGGAAGGAAGAAGCAGGTAAAGGCAGGAAGTAAGTAAGACGTGGGTAAAGGAAGGAAGGAAGGAAGGAAGGACGGAGGAATGGATGGATTTTAACAATCAGTTCAAAGTGTGATCAACTCATTAAATCAAGAAAGGGCAAATAAAGCTGACAGAGTAAGAGGTATAAATAAATGTTTTTCCTTTAAGGACACACTCACCCTGCTGAGTCTGGAAACAGCCAAAGAGACGCACGTCTTGAACTCGTCTGGATTTTTCTGGCTCAGACAGGTGATGAGAGAGATGGCTGCAGTCACCACCCCCTAAACCAACAATAAATCCAACTCGTAATCAGAAAACAGCAGCTGTGCATCAGAGTGTCGTGTTGTATGGAACCACGTGTCCAGTCAGAGGTCAGTTCTTACCATGTGTTGGTCGTTAAGCAGGTGCACCACACGTGAAGTCCATTCCCCCATCAGCACCAAGTCAGGAGAAGTTTTGTAGAGCCGCAGCAAACAAAGGGCAGCCGACTGCTTGACACTGTCCATCGTGTCTCTGTGGTTCATCACATTCACACAGTTGGGTAAAGCCGTTTACATTCACTCACAGCAAGATTGAATTTCAATTCCATCCTCACACTCACCCAGCCACCAGGATGCGAGGGATCTCACTGGCAAAGGCCTCTGCCATCTCACGACTGCCTACGTTGGCAATGCAGTGAAGCGCCAGGCACATGAAGGTGGGGTTCCTGCTGGACAGGTCATTCTTGATGGCATTGTTGATCAAACGAATGAGCTCACTGTTGCTGTTTACCAGCACTGAAATAAACAAGTACCCCTGCAGAGACAGATGAGAGAAAATAAGTGACATGAAAATACAGTACAGGTCAAACCAAACACAGTCTGTCGCTCACTCAAGTAATCATCCTTTTAACAACGAGCATTGTGTAATTTCACTGACATTTTAACTTCTTCTGTTCTTCTTGTTCTCGTATCTCGGTGCAATGACAATAAAGCTTATTCTGATTGATTCTTGCAAGGCTTCTTATGAAGAACACTTCAACACGCTCTTGTGAAGGGCGGACGCATTTCTCTTCCTCTCCCTTTCCACTTTGCTCTGTCCCGTCTGTGAAACTGCTTTAGAGCCTCTATTCTACAAATCTTCAGAATCATAACTATGAACTTGGATTTGGTCAGTTGGTCCCTCAGCACAACTGATAACATTTCTTTGAAGAGAAGACAGGCTTTAAGTGAACCGATTTGCCCTGTTGGCACGCACGCAGCTGGATCTCTCATCGACTTGGAAGGCTTGATGAAGTGTCTCTCTCTGCTGTCATCTGTGGATTTTAAAGGACACATATTTATTTGGATTTATAATAACAGGTTCCTGGTTCATCAACAAACAAGGAAGTCGTCGGCAGCAAATTTGGACCTGGTCATGCTGCTTGCCTTACGATAGCTTGGTTCGTGCCTCGAGCACCCAGACTCAAATGCTTTTGGCAAGATGGAGCAGATCTCGGGGATTATTCTCAGGCATGGTCCAATGGTGTGGCCATTTAATTTGGACATTTCGGAACCAAGTGGATTGACACAGACTTAAGGTAGATGTCATTAATGTTCTGCCTGCCCCCAAAAGAATCGTGTTTATCTGAATTCAGCTCCCTGACTGGCCTTGACAGGCCATCTTATCTTAATTCGCCTGGAAGTTTTTGTAAACCTAGGATGCTCTGTCCCTCCCTCCCTCCCTCCCACCGAGGAAGTCTACAGACCAATCAGAAGGGCCCAGACTCTTTGGATTCTATTCTGACGTCCTTGGCTGCCCTCGGCACCCCCTCGGCACCCCCTGAGAGTGCATGGATCTCTCCAGAGGGAACTATTTGAACTGAGCGATTTTTATCTGAACTCTGCAGTGCCTCTGTGTGTTGTCTCTGGACACACTCCCCTCCCTTGCGTCGTCTCCCCCCCGAATATCGGCATCATTATGTGCTAATCGTGCAAGTGTTTTTTTTTCTCTCCCCATTATCATGCCGTTAACCTTCAGCCAAAGATTGAGCATGTTGGGAATTTTTTTGTCTCCGAATCCTACGTGTCATTTTTCACCACTTTTTATTGTCTGTCCAAACAGGTCTCACTTGTAAATGAGTCTTCGAGGCTCAATGTCATTTATCCGTTTAAATAAAGGTTGAATGAACGAAAAAGAACCTGCAGAGATGTGCTCTGGTCATTGAACAGAACTGTCCTGAGCTGCATGTTAAAGTGTTACACAGTAAAAGTCTGTGTTTGATAGAACTCCAAGAACATTTTTGAGTTGTTTAAGATGTGAAAAGAAAGATCAAAAACTTTAAAAGTATGAGCAGTAATCCAGATTTCTTTGCTTGTGGTGAACTAAAAACCACCCTAATCCTGACTCATCCTTAATTCTGCTTACTAAACACTTCCTGTTCCTGAGAAAAACAGACTATAGCAGAGTTAGGAAATCGTCTCAGTGGCAGATACTGCAGCCTTGAACATAATGAACCATACATTTTTAAACAATCACCACTAAACACTCTCAATACCATCATATTTAACTTTAAACTGTTTATAAACAACAAAAAACTGCATAGTTTTGATGATCAGTGGTTCACCGATTAGGAGAAATGCACCCTGCTCCTTCAACTTGTCACGAGTACCAATGTATTGTTTAAAGTAATAAAAATACAGTGAATTAAAATGATGTTTCACAGAGTCTCAAAGGCTGTTTTGTATGAAGCTCAGCATCAAAATGTGTTCTTAATAGTATTCAAAGAAAACATCTTCAAACATTTACATCACTTGTTTGTTTAACATTCAAACTATCGTACAGTCTACAGTGGTGGTAAGAACCCATTAAAATTGGTTTTAAGGTTATCTTGAATCATGACAGGGCTGTAAAAAATATATATTTGACCAAGTACAGATTCCTTTTTTTATTTTGTTACATTTACACATTTACAAACAAATAAATGTCCCTATCAGTTCATTTGTTTCTACAAATGAACTAAATAAATACAAAATGCAGTTCTTAAATTATTTAATTTATAAAAAGGGAAAATTATGTGCAGACCATCCTGGCTCTGTCTGAAAACCACTTTCCTCCCGTTAAATCACAAATAGATTTATTTTTCTTTTGGAAAGCTGAGTTCAGTGTCACTTGGTCTGATTACTGCCAGACCTGTACATTACACCCACCCATCTACCCATCCACCTACACATCCATCCAGCCATCCACCTACACACATCCATCTACCCATCCAATTCAATTCAGTTTATTTATATAGCGCCAAATCACAACAGAGTTGGCTCAGGGCACTTTACAGAACATTCACATACATAAAAGACAATTAGTAAAGTTCTTTAAGGAATCCACCCACCCCCACACACCCACCCACACACACCCACACCCCCATCTACCCATGCACACACACCCATCTACCCACGCACGCACGCACGCACACACACATATTCACACACACACACACACACACACACATATACAAACATATACAGGTCCTTCTCAAAAAATTAGCAAATTGTGATAAAGGTCATTATTTTCCATAATGTAATGATAAAAATGAAACTTTCATTTATTTCAGATTCATTGCACACCAACTGAAATATTTCAGGTCTTTAATTGTTTTAAATACTGATGATTATGGCATACAGCTCATGAAAACCCAAAATGCCTGTCCCAAAAAATTAGCATATTTCATCCCACCAATGAAAGACAAGTGTTTTTAATACAAAAAATGCCAACCTTCAAATAATCCTGTTCAGTTATGCACTCAATACTTGGTCGGGAATCCTTTTGCATGAATGACTGCTTCAATGCGGCGTGGCATGGAGGCAATCAGCCTGTGGCACTGCTGAGGTGTTATGGAGGCCCAGGATGCTTCGATAGCGGCCTTAAGCTCATCCAGAGTGTTGGGTCTTGCGTCTCTCAACTTTCTCTTCACAATATCCCACAGGTTCTCTATGGGGTTCAGGTCAGGAGAGTTGGCAGGCCAATTGAGCACAGTAATACCATGATCAGTAAACCATTTACCAGTGGTTTTGGCACTGTGAGCAGGTGCCAGGTCGTGCTGAAAAATGAAATCTTCATCTCCATAAAGCTTTTCAGCAGATGGAAGCATGAAGTGCTCCAAAATCTCCTGATAGCTAGCTGCATTGACCCTGCCCTTGATAAAACACAGTGGACCAACACCAGCAGCTGACATGGCACCCCAGACCATCACTGACTGTGGGTGCTTCACACTGGACTTCTGGCATTTCCTTCTCCCCAGTCTTCCTCCACACTCAGGCACCTTGATTTACAAATGACATGCAAAATTTGCTTTCATCCAAAAAAAGTACTTTGGACCACTAAGCAACAGTCCAGTGCTGCTTCTCTGTAGCCCAGGTCAGGCGCTTCTGCCGCCGTTTCTGGTTCTGGTTCAAAAGTGGCTTGACCTGGGGAATGCGGCACCTGTAGCCCATTTCCTGTACACGCCTGTGCACGGAGGCTCTGGATGTTTCTACTCCAGACTCAGTCCACTGCTTCCGCAGGTCACCCAAGGTCTGGAATCGGCCCTTCTCCACAATCCTCCTCAGGGTCCGGTCACCTCTTCTCGTTGTGCAGCGTTTTCTGCCAAACTTTTCCCTTCCCACAGACTTCCCACTGAGGTGCCTTGATACAGCACTCTGGGAATAGCCTGTTCGTTCAGCAATGTCTTTCTGTGTCTTACCCTCTTGCTTGAGGGTGTCAATGATGGCCTTCTGGACAGCAGTCAGGTTGGCAGTCTTACCCATGATTGCGGTTTTGAGTAATGAACAAGGCTGGGAGTTTTTAAAAGCCTCAGGAATCTTTTGCAGGTGTTTAGAGTTACGTTGTTGATTCAGATGGTTAGGTTAATAGCTTGTTTAGAGAACCTTTTCATGATATGCTAATTTTTTGGGACGGGCATTTTGGGTTTTCATGAGCTGTATGCCATAATCATCAGTATTAAAACAAAGACCTGAAATATTTCAGTTGGTGTGCAATGAATCTGAAATATATGAAAGTTTCATTTTTATCATTACATTAGGGAAAATAATTACCTTTATGCTATTTTTTTTAGAAGGACCTGTATAAACTGCTCAGCAGCAGCAGGTGTCCAGATAAACAGCATCCTCCTCCCTGCTCTGTGCGGCGACTGCAGAGCGGCTCGGGAACATTAATGGAGTGTTGTTTCTCACAGTTCAAAATTGACAAATCTAGAATAAATCTCATCTTTCCGGTTCGTTGGGACCAGGGAGTGACGAGAGAGGAACCCTGCGTTTTTCTCTCCTTCTGAGACTCTGGAAAATTACATTTAAATCAGAATTTCCTGAGCTTCTGCGAGAGGGGACAAGATCTGTTCAGAAATGACAGGAAACGTCATTAGAGTTCCTCCGCACCAGGGTTTGAGCTGTACTGCAGCGTGAATCCCAGGATGAAAACGGTTCGCCTATCCGTCTGGAGCGCGCGCTCATTGCCATTCGTTTATAAAGTTATAAAACGGGCAAGCGTTTATGCTGTGAAACTCACATGCACGCTGATGTGAGCTGGTGCGCGCTGAAGGAGAAAGAAAAAACATGCGCCCCCGAGCACGGAGATCGTTTGTGCGTTTGCTGATGCTGCGAGACGCAGCTCATGAGTTGTGCTCACGTTGTGTGCAGCTAGACCGTGTAAACGCTCGGGGAGCGGGTGCACGTATGAGCTGACGTGCCCTGAAGTCGTGTGTGCGCGCCCTCATTCATGCGACGCCTTAAGCCAGGATTGCCACGGGAGCGCGCTTTTGACGCTGGTGCGGTCAAGAAGCAGCGCCGGCATCGGTGGGGCGAGGTTACCACTGGGCTCGGTCTGCAGAAACACGTTCATTCTCGGCTGCGAATCACGTGAGCTTCTGAGTGATTCCACGAGCTGCAGTAATAATTCAGAAAACCTTCTTCGAGGATGAAGGAGCGGAGCCGCTGTGAGGCTTGTGAAACTGTTGACGCCGCGGGAGCGCGTGTTTGACACCACTGCGATGAAAACGCGTGTCGCTCCTGCCGAGAGAGATAAGTTACTGGGCTCGTACCGCGGTCTCACGTTTACGTTGACGTGAACGGCGGGCGCTAAGAGCTGCGTGCGCGCTTTCATGCCGTGGGAGCACGTGTTGGCACCGCTGGCAGTGAATGAAAACAACCTTAAAAGGCTCATTCATGAGGAGTGTGTGTGATGGGGCCGCTTGTCAGATCATCCGTACTGACAGCCTGGCTAAAAGACACTTCATCATAAAATTATGTTTATTTCACATCGTGTCATCAACACACCTCCAGCAAACCGACACCTGGTTATCCTCCCCTTGAGCTCCGTGGTCTGTTGTCCTAGAGGGCCCCCGTTGGCAAAATCCGGGAAAAAAAAAAGAACTTCTGCATGCCGGGGACGTCTGACGGGAGGGGCTGGCGTAGCAGAGCTGGGGAGGCGTTGTGCAGCCGTGGAGCATCTTGAAATGATCTCTCGCTGATGAAAAGGCCCTCCAACAAAAGCTTCTGCAGCTCTCCTGAGAGGAAGGTGGAGTGATGAGCCAGGAGAACCTCTGGGACCTCGTTCTCTGGCTGCGATGCGGGGCGGCAGACAGCAAAAGAGGCGCACCGGTTGGGGATGACGTCAGCTGCCCTGTAGACAGAGCGTACTGCAGGGGCCGATAGCGTCGTTAGCAAGCAGCCGCTACGAGAGCGGAGCGAGCTGAAGGTCAGAGGGCCCACCGTCTCTTCCCGCCTCTGAACGTGTACGCCAACAGTGTAACGTGTTGTTCGCTGCGACCGTCTGGAACGCTGGAACCGGCCCCCCAATCTACCAGGAAAAAACAGCTGTGGCCTCGCCCGTAGGACGTCCTGTGGGAAAACGAGGCCAGATGGATCAAGACAGTGAGCCGGAATGGAACCTAGTAAAACAACCTTCCCGCCGGATCATCCGAACTGGCGGGAAAAGGCGTGGGACGTAAAAGAGGGTCCCTTCATGTCAGCCGCCTCCTGGGTTACGCCGGGCAACCCCAGAAGGCGCCGTCGGCCGGGAGCGGTGTGATCGCCGATGCGAAACGAGGTGGGATGAGGTGAGCATTCACTCAGCCCCCCTCCACCAACACTACGCTCTCCAGGAGGGAATGAGCAGCGGGGGGCTGCAGCTGAGCGCCACCTGTCCTGGAGGAACCATCCGATTCACTCCGAGGGTCGGCAATAAGAGGAAAATTACAAGATGGCGTTTTCCAGCGTGTAGTGACCTGTCACTGAGAAATATTCCTCAGCGCTTACCTTGAAACAAGACTGCTCGTCTGCTTCTCCTCGGGGAGGAGAGCTCACCGGATGACCGGAGGTCGACGTGCCGGGCCAAGCATTCTTAACAAAGGTTGGTTATCTACACAACTTTCCTTCTTCGTTCTTCTGACAGTCCTATTAGCTTGCTGAAGAAAAAATGGGAGCCGATTTCCCGCTCTTAACGTAATATATACGGACCGGGTGGGGCCCACACAGCAGGTGGGCGTGGACTAAATTTTTCAGTGCAATGCTTTGCATATCGGGATAAACCCGTCAGCGAAGCCTTAAAGGGCGAAGCTTATACGAAATAGAACTCTACTGGATGCTCGTGATCTCTGGGGCCTTAAACGTCACTCCACCTCAAACAGGAATGCCACTGTCAAGGAAATAACAGAATGGGCTCAGGAATACTTCCAGAAAGCATTGTCAGTGAACACAATCTACCGTGCCATCCGCCGTTGCCAGCTGAAACTCAACAGTGCAAAGAAGAAGCCATTTCTAAGCAAGCTCCACAAGCTCAGACGTTTGCACTGGGCCAGGGGTCATTTAAAATAGAATGTGGCAAAATGGAAGACTGTTCTGTGGTCAGATGAGTCACGATTTGAAGTTCTTTATGGAACACTGGGATGCCATGTCATCCGGACCAGAGAGAACAAAGATAGCCTGAGTTGTTATCAACGCTCCGTTCAGAAGCCTGCATCACTGATGTTATGGGGTTGCATGAGCGCTTGTGGCATGGGCAGCTTGCATGTCTGGAAAGGCACCATTAATGCAGAGAACTATGTTCAGGTTCTAGAACAACATATGCTCCCATCTAGACGTCAACTCTTTCAGGGAAGACCCTGCATTTCTTAACACGATAATGCCAGACCACATTCTGCAGCAATCACAACATCATGGCTACGTAGGAGAAGGATCCGGGTACTGAAATGGCCAGCCTGCAGTCCAGATCTTTCACCTATAGAGAACATTTGGCGTATCGTAGAGAGGAAGGTGCGACAAAGAAGGCCCAAGACGATTGAATAGTTAGAGGCCTGTATTAGACATGAATGGGAGAGCATTCCTATTTCTAAACTTGAGAAACTGGTCTCCTCTGTCCCCAGACATCTGTTGAGTGTTGTA